GTTTTTGTTGCCTTCTTTGTGATTTTCTTTAATATAATAGTGCTAAGAAACACAGCTTGCCTGCATTTTCTCTCACACAATAAATGCTTAAATCTTTTTATAGATGTTGCACATGCATGGTTGATTCCATATATAATTAAATAGTAAAGTACACTTCATTCTTTACTGACCTGAACTTTAAAAACTTGGAATAAGTATTTTACATTAAATAGCTACTTTTCAAAACAAGATGTAAGTTAACAAGGCTCATAAAATTGGTAAATTATATAAATGTGTCATCTACCAATACAAAACCTATTCCTCCAACCTAATGTCCCCAATTTAATTTTCCAATATCTAAAATTACACATACTCCAGAAGCATGCCCTCCATTTCATAAATACCTCTTAAGCCATTAATTGATTGCATCGTATTTTTTGTTCAAATCCCTTTATGTTTTCAGTTACTACAAAGCATTAGGTGGCTTGCTTGCATTATTCTAAATGCCACCTATAAAATATGAAAGATATATTTTAAATTAATGGAGTTGAAGCAACTGAGCAGATCTTGGAAAACGAAAATGGTGTTAATTAAATAAATGGCCCACTTCTGCATGACTACAGCTGGGAACTGTCCATTAGCAGTAATTTATCCTCCGTGGTGATAATTTATCCACAACAAGTGCATTGTGTTCCAAACTTTAAAATGACTAAGTCATGATGAAGCCTGAGAAAGGTTTGTTCTAACTGTCTGAAGGCATTTAGAACCTGACAATTACCAATCTCTACCTTCGGGGGAACGTTCTAAACCTCTATGGGTTCATGAATCTTAGAAATATTAAAACAGAAAACATGATGCACTGTGGACAACTGGAGCTCAGTCTCATTGGATTTTTTTTAAAGAATAGTTTATTCATTTGAGAGAGAGAGAGAGAGAGAGAGAGAGAGAGAGATCAATGGGAGAGCACACCATGGATCAGCTGCCTCCTGCACGCCCCCTACCAAGGATTGAGCCCACAACCCAGGTACATGCCCTTGTATGGAATCGAACTGGCAACCTCCTGGTGCATGGAATGGCGTCCAACCAAGTGAGCCACACCAGCCAGGGGTCCTTGGATTTTTAATACAACAGTTCTTCACAATGTCTTCCACATAAAAGCAGTTCCATTCAGTCTCTAGTCGTATTAGTTCAATTATAGAGTAACTTTGAAGAGACCAAGTCTTCTAAATATTAGGTTCCAAATATATTGACTACTTGGATCCATCCCTAATATAATTTCAAGCAAACACTGATTAGCCTATTCACAAATAGTGCAAGATCGCTGAACGGTCTTAAAATGGAAATTTCGCAAGGCGTTCATCCTAACGCGAACCTCACTGTCGCTATCCTGGGGAGAAAGCCGCCCATAATTATCTGTGTGGACACCTCCTCAGCGAGCCCGGTTTCACAGGCTGCTTCTGTTCTTGTCCAGCCCTGACTGACTTAATAAGGCCTGAGATGGAGCACCCATTCAGATCTCAGCTGCAGGCATCCCCGGCCATTCAAGAAATGCTATATGAAGCACTTGAATTAGATTTGTGTGTTTTACTCAGGATGCCAAAGAAAGAAACGTGCATCGTGTACACAACAGCCATTCCGAGGGCATGAGCACTGTTGTCATGTAGCAAGTCCCGAATGTCTTCCATGGCCCCCAGGACTCATGTCCCTCCTGTGCTAAATGACCCGCACGCTGTGCCTCACCCTGTTTCCTTGTCCTGCTCAGAAACGGGTATCAGAATACAAATGATGAAGAGGGAATTGGAAACTGTCAGGGTGGCACTGCTATATACATGGCACATACATTACACGTGATATATATATATATATATATATTTCTATTGATTTCAGAGAGGAAGGGTGAGGGAGAGAGAGTTAGAAACATCCATGATGAGAGAGACTCATTGCCTCCTGCACGCCCCCTACTGGGGATAGAGCCCACAACCCCGGCACGTGCCCTTGACCAGAATTGAACCCAGGACCCTTCAGTCCGCAGGCCGATGTTCTATCCACTGAGCCAAAGCAGCTAGGGCTGCATTCTATATTTCATCTAGGAGACAGATCTGTTCTATATACATTATGTATACAGCCATGCCCGCTTAGGCCAGGGCAGACAATCCAAGGAGCACATTGTTAAGCGATTTTGTCGTTGTGTGACCATCACAGCATGCAGTTACACACACCAAGATACTCTAACCCGCTACACACCAAGGCTGTAAGGTAAGGTGTACTGCTCCTGGGCCACACGCCTGTAGAGCATGTTATTGTCCAAGACACAAGGTTAAATCCAGCACAAGAGAAATCGATACCATCCAGGGACTCAGTACGCGCGAGATATATGAGGCTGCTGCTGGCATAACACTGCAGGTTGTGATTTTAAGTAGAAGAAGAATACGCTAAAACAATGATAAAAAGTACAGAGTAGTAAATGCCTAAATCCGTAACATGGTCATTTATAACCGCGACCAAGTCTTGTGGACTGTCCCTAATAGTAGGTGCTGGACTTTCATACAACGAGTAGCGCCCTGGGTCTGTCTACACCATCACAGCCAGCACGGGAGTCATGCATTGAGCTAGGACATTCTGACGGCTACGTCACTAGATGATAGGAATGTCTCAGCTCCATTATGATCTCATGAGACCACTGTTGTATATGTGGTTTGCAGTTGACTAAAAAGTTATTCAACATGTGACTATACACATACATATCACATGTACATTACATGTGTGTTTCTCTACCCAAAGATGGTACCATATAAATTTAAGTGAACTATCCAAGGTTAGTTCACCAAGAACTTATGGTGTGGAGTGCACACTCTGTATCCTCAGGGGCCCACAATGCTCTCTATCATATTTAAAAATATATTTTTATGGATTTCAGAGAGGAAGGGAGAGGGAGAGAGAGAGAAACATCGATGGGAGAGAATCATGGATTGGCTGCTTCCTGCACGCCCCACACTGGGGATGGAGCCCATAACCTGGGCATATATCCTGACCAGGAATCCAACCATGGCCTCCTCCTGCTTCAGAGGTCAACCCTCAACCACTGAGCCACGCCGGCCGGGCCCACAATATTCTCTCTTTGATGACACATCCTCACATATCAATCATAGGCCTCACCCATTTTCACATGCCAGTCAACCATGCCCCACTAAGACTCAATTGAAAATGCTTCAAATGCAGAGCAAGGTAGAAAGGGCGCCCTTTCCCGTCATCTCTTCCCCCATCATTGTTAGGATGTGACTACAGGAGAAGATGTCAATTCCCGGTCAGGGCACATGCTGAGGTTGCGGGCTCCATCCCCAGTAGGGGGTGTGCAGGAGGCAGCCAGTCCATGATTCTCTCTCCTCGTTGATGTTTCTCTCTCTCTCTCTCTCCCTCTCCCTTCCTCTCTGACATCAATAAAAATATTTTTTTTAAAGAGCAAACCTTGCTACCCCCACCAAGTCCCAAAGATGTCCTCTATCTGTATTCAGCCCATCTCGCAATTGCTACCCGGAAGGGGATTTTTGTTCTATGTGATGATCTGGGATCCTAAAGTAACAGCTACAGATTCAATCCCTCTGAACACTCCTGCACTGAAGCCATTTAGGCTAACAAAATTGATCTCTATGTCAACTAGCATTGCAAATGTGTTTACATATTATCTTCTCCATTCAACCAGAACACCTTATTTTCCAAGCCTACTGGAAATTTATCCTCTACCAATTCATCCAGTACCAATTCATCCTCTTAATTTCTAGCCAACGTATAAGTTTTTGCCGAAAAAGACTGAATTGAATCAGTATCCTCTACAAAACGTCCATGTCCCTTTAAATTACTAATATGAGACCTGTGAAAAGTTGATTGTTGATGCACAAGATAAAGCCCTCCCATGTGTAGGAACAGGAGTGACAATGGGAGCTGAGATGAGGAGAAGAAGGAGGGAACCACCCAGGGGTGAATGGAGAGATTCTTTGAATCACACCAATAACGGATCTTTTCTGTAATTAAAAGACAGCACCAGGAGCAAAGCGAACTTCAAGGAAACATTTCCATGGCATTGAGAGCCTCGCCAGCATATCATCCCCAAACAAGGCAGCGTGGCGTGTGCTGCGTGCAATGACTTCCAGAAAAGGCTGAACTCAGCGAAACACAAAATATGTTTTTTTAAGTAGTGGGACACAGCTAGCCGGAGGAATTCCAGAAGTTTAGGCAAAGCGGCGATGCTACGGAAAATGACATGGGCAATGTCTTGCTGATAATAAATATTCTAGTTTGGGGGACTCGTTTTAATTTGGTGGCCTGTACACTTTTTTAGGTTAAAAATGCGTTCATTGTGAAAAGATCAGATTGTGCTCTACCCAATGAAGAGATGGGACATTCTCTGCACACACCATCAGGACTGTGATCAACAATGATCACCGTTGCCTGGTCAGAGGGCGTCCTTTCAAGGGCAAAGGTTGTCATTGTCCCTAACCACCTGTTACATTTGTAAACCTGTCCACCTGTAACTCCAAAGCATAAACACCCAGAGGCCAGGGGACACCCCACCAAGACAACACTGATGGGGGGGGGGGGACGACTCCCCTAAGTTCCTGCTCTGCTTTTACAGTATCAACCTGAGCGCATCTTCCAACTTGATCACCAGCGCCTAAAGGGACAAAACGGGAAACCCTTTGGCACCTATGCTGCGTGCCATTTGCATGTTTTGTACCTCTGATCCCTGCCTCACACATGCCCTGGGCAAACACACATGGACAAGAATAAGCATCAAATCCATGCAATCAGCCCCTTGCAGGGACGGGAAAGCGGGAAGAGAAGGAGTCCCTTGTCGGTAGCAACGTCTCCATGGAGTCAAAATGGAGAGACAGACCAGGTCGGTCCCTTTCCCGGCTCCCCCATCCCTGGCTTCCTTCCCCCCCCCCGCCCCCTCCCTCCCCGTAGGCTCCCACCTGTCTGGGCTTCCGCTGTCTTTAGAGAAGGATCCTGCCCGCGTCACTCACCTGTCGTCGTTTTGCCATCCTTGGTCCCCAAGCAGCAAATCGCGAAACCTGTACCGGGGAGGCAGAGGGGGCACCTCGCTCTCCAGATCGACCATCCTTCCTGCGGGAGCGGGGAGCCCGGAGGCAGGCGGAGAGGAGGGAGACGGACAGGGAAGGGGGCGGGGCAGAGGGAGGGGGCGACGGGGACGCGGTGGCCAGGGGGGTGGGGGGGAGAGGGGCGGCCGGGGCCTGGGCCTGGAGGGGGAGGGTCTGCTGGGAGCCGGAAGCCCAGGCTGCGGGGGGCTGGCTCCCCTCCTCCCGGGGGTGATGGGGATGATGCAAACCCAGCCCCGGAGCAAAAGTCTGGCTCCGACCAGAATCCCCGCTGCCAGGGAACCGCCCCCGGGCTCAGCGCCGCCCCTGGTCCCCGGGACTCGGGGAGGCGGGAGGCAAAAGTAACTTGGCCGGGAGCGCACGGGGCGTCGGGGAAGAGGGGACCCGCGGCGGAAGTGCTGGGTGCGAGGCTGGGCGCCTCCCCGATGGGCGATAGGCAGCAGGTGCCATGGGCACCCCCGCTCCAGCCGGACCCCAGGGATGTCCCGGCACCTGCCCTGAGATGCTGCGCTGGGAGCCCAGCCAATGAGACGCCCCCTCATTTGCATAACACGGAGGAGGTGCCGGGACGACCAATGGGAGCGCGCTAATTAGCGGATTCCGGGCTGCAGACCCCCCTGCGCCCCCCCTCGCTGGGCAGGTGGCGGGGATGCCGGGGTGTCCCGGTGCTCCCAGCCCCTGGGCGCTGCACCCCATCAGCACGCACGGTCCTGGGGGGAATCCCCGCGCAGCCCAGGAAAGTCCCCTGGATTTTTCTCACCATCTGCAAGAAAGGGAGGTGTTTCCCCGATGCGAGGAAAGAGGGAAGGGGCTCTTTTTTATTTATTCCGAGTTTAATGATTTTTTTTCTTTATTGATGAAGGTATTACCTATGTGTCCTTATCCCCCCGTTGCCCCCCACCTCCACCCCCTGCTCATGCCCTCACCTCCCTGCTGTCTGTGTCCATTGGTTGGGCTTATGTGCATGCATACAAGTCCTTTGGTTGATCTCTCCCCCTTACCCCCACCTCCCTCTGCCTTCCCTCTGAGGTTTGAAGGTTTGATGGATGCTTGCTTCTCTGTCTCTAGATCTGTTTTTGTTCATCCGTGTATGTTGTTCATTATATTCCACAAATGAGTGAGATCCTGTGACATTTATCTTTCTCCAACTGGCTTATTTCACTCCGCATCATGCTCTCCAGGAACTCCTGCCATCCGCAACAGCACGGATGGGCCAGGAAGGGACTCCTCAGGCCCCTGAAGGGGGAACATTTGAGGGGGATGATGGCTGGGCGAGCTCAGGGCAACCTTGAGATCAATATGCTGGCCAGTTACTGTTGCTGCTGTTCCCTGCCCTGTGGGCCCACAGGTGGCGAGGATGCTCCTGCGAGTGGTCCACGCAGCCAGAGGAGGGCGTGAACCCGAGGGTCCACAGTTGGTTTTCCAGTCTCAACGCCTGCTCACCTGGGAACCGTGCCATATACACAAGCCCAGGTGCCATTTGAGCCCAAAACTGACTCGATCAGGGTCTTTGCTTTAGCTCCAGAGTTACGGATTTGTTTATGCTTCTTTTCCTCGAGCTTTTGGGATCACGTTGCCAAATGAGAAAGTTCTATCACCACATGGTTAGTTTGTGAGAAGGAAAAGGGACAGGGTATCAGGTTTCTATTTCAGACCTTCTCATGGGCTGTGAAGATGGTTCTGTGAGCTTTACCTTTGCAATGCCCTGGGTTAATATTTATTTTTCACTTATATTATTATTGTCTGCTTTTATACGTTTGGCATAAATCTGAAATATTTATGGATCGCTAACAGCAGCAAGGCACTAAGAATATTAGCTGTTGAGTGTTAGGCGCTGAGACGCTGGAGGTTAGAGGGTAAGGATCCATCACATTTTATTTCAATGGCAACCTTATTTTTCACTTTTGTGACAGTTTTTTGGTTTTTTTCAAATATTTTTATTGATTTCAGAGAGGAAGGGAGACAGGGAGAGAGAGATAGAAACATCCATGATGAGAGAGAATCATTGATTGGCTGCCTCGTGCACACCCCACACTAGGGATCAAGCCTGCAACCCGGGCACGTGCCCTGACCTCCTGGTTCATAAGTTGACGTTAAACCACTGAGCCAGTCTTAAGTATTGGTCTTCCAAGTGTCCAGATAACAGTTACAAAGACAAAAAAAAATTGCAGAAACCAGTAAGAGCCTGCTCAGCCAGTAGGATACAGATGGTACAAAGTACCTGAATGTGCTAGGCCACGTGGAGCCCAGTGCATTGATGGTACACTGATTTTTGTGTGCCTTAAAATTGTCCAAGTGGAACCTGGCTGGTGTGGCTCAGTGGTTGAGCATTGACCCAGGAACCAAGAGGTCACCTGTTCGATTCCTGGTCATGGCACATGCCCGGATTGCGGGCTCGATCCCCAGTGTGGGGCATGCAGGAGGCAGCCGATCGATGATGTTTGTCACTCATCATTGATGTTTCTCTCTCTTCTCCTTTCCTCTCTGTAAACATCAATAAAATTTTTTTTAATTGTCCAAATGGAAAATGTTGTACTTCTACATTTTAAAAAATTAAAAGAATAGTGTAACATAAGGAATACTATCCTGCCATTGTTAAAATCTGGCAATTTGGGGGGCATTGAAGCAAATTTGTAACTGGAAGATATTTTGCTCGCCTTTATATATTTTTCAATTTTCTGGAGCAGACTTTTCAGTTTGGTCACTAATTTTGACTTTTACTTCTCCTGCCATAGCTTTCTACACTCTACTTTCATGCCCTTTCTTTTCCGTGTCATGTCATGTCACTCCCCGCTGTTAAAATATATTTCCCTCTTTCGCTCTTTTTACCTTGGCTTCCTTTTTCTCTGTGCCCTTTTGACCTCCCATTTCATAGACGCTTTTTCTCTGTGTGTGTGAAAGCTTTCATTCTACTATAACACAAGAACCCATTTTTAGAAACAGTTCCAACTCGGTTATATAGGTTACAATTCACACCTTCCTCGCGGGCATTCTCACGTCCCCCTTATATCAACATCTATCTACAGGCGGGAAAGAAATGTAACAAAACCTGCCCTATATTCCCAGCGTGTCCAGCTGCACGAGCAAAATCAGTTTTGTTTCATCCACATTGAAAAGGGGACACATGTAAAGAGAAGTGGAAAAGGAGAATATCGCGTTCAATTCACAAATTCCCCCTGAGAAGCACAGGTCAGTGGCACAGGGGCAGGGCATGTGGAGGCGGATGCAGACACTATTCTATTCCCATAATGAACGCAGTACCAACATGGCTAGTGCTTTTTGTCATTTTAAAACTAACGCCCGTCTGAGCTGTGAGATGTGTACTCACGCCTCACAGTGGAACCCTGTCAGGAGGCAGGCAGCGTTCTGATAGCAGCCACATCCTCCATCCTGTCCCCTCTGCTTCTTCCCCCTTCCCCTCGCTCCCTCCAGATGCGCATCTTAGCATCCTTCCTAAGAACGCGCATCTCTCCCTGTATCTGCTTCTAACTCTTTGCTTCGGCTGAATTTTCAGAGGGAGAACTAGAGCTGAAGGGAGAATCCTTTGGTGCCAAATATGATTCAATAACTAGGAAGCACGTTCTGTTCCAATAACCCAGGAATCGCCTCCACATTATTCTTTTAGGTGCAAAACACATGTATCTGTGAGGAAACTCTCTAGCAGGCGTGGAGACTCCCGTTCTATCTTGGATCTTCCCATCCGTAGGTGCCTAGGGTCCCCAACCCTGCTCGTGGGTGGCTTAGAGGAGGCATCCCTGTGCCCTGACCCTTGTCATCGTCAAACCTGCTACAAGGACCTCTTTTTCTTTTTCACAGTCGTCGTCCATTAGCAGATGAGCAACCATAGTCTAGTGCAGCGATGGCGAACCTATGACACGCCTGTCAGAGGTGACACGCGAACTCATGTTTTTGGTTGATTTTTCTTTGTTAAATGGCATTTAAATATATAAAATAAATATCAAAAATATAAGTCTTTGTTTTACTATGGTTGCCAAGATCAAAAAATTTCTATATGTGATACGGCACCAGAGTTAAGTTAGGGTTTTTCAAAATGCTGACACGCCGAGCTCAAAAGGTTCGCCATCCCCGGTCTAAGGCGTGAGTGAGAAGCTTCATATGTAGATGGGTTGGGTCACAGCTTTGTCACTCTTCAAACATAAGGACTTACAAGTGTTGAAATAGTCATAGTGGCAGTGTGAGGAACTACTGTGAGCCAGATATGATGTTAGGAGATTTACAATAATTTTGTAAATATATTTTATTGATTCAACAGAGGCAACAGAAAGCTAAAATTAATGCTCAGTCGCCATTTCGGTCTGAACGATATGAAGGTCCAATCGTCCTGATTGTTATGCAGTGTCCCGAGGCTATAAGCTCACAGTTTTTATCACAAATAGCAAGTTGCTATAAACACAGTGCATAACAACAAGTGAAGAAAATTAGAAGAATCTCACATGGTTTTCATACATAATTGTGTTATAGACATTGAGGTCCCTGGTGTGTATATGAATGCATAACATTTCTGAAATTCATATATTTTCTTTATAGTGTGATATTTTAAATATTAATTATACCTTGATATACCAAATTTGTATTTTTATTTCTTTTCAGGTAGCTCACCACTTCAAGGTATTAAATGGTAGCGCTGTGTCCATTACTTTCTTGATTTCTGCAGCTTGAACATATAAATTATTTAATATTTGAGTGTTGACTCTATTTCTCTAATATCTTGTTCTTAATATAAACATGCCTTTGCTGTTTAGCAACTAATGAGTTTAATTATGCTTTTCAAATTTCGCACAACTGGTTGAACAGCTTTGATTACTTTCTAAGAGATAAACCACAGTATGTACCCTCAGAGTAACTGAAACAAATAAATGCCCTAAAGTTAAAAGGGGGGGGGGGGGGACTGGCTGCTCCGTGAATCTTCTGAAATCCCATGAAAATAATAAATATGGAAGATCAGAAAAATATTTTAAAGATTCCCCAGGTGGAAGCCAGA